TCACCACATATTAAAACTTAGCCTTCTCTGCCCAACAAGGGATCAATATTCGTAAAAAAACTTAGTAGGAGAGGATCCAAAAAATAGGTCAAGATACTCCAAATTTGGTTCACTTAATTTTTTTTTTTTCTTAAATTGCTATTATGATCTGATTTTCATCATGACGCACTGAAAATTGATATTTTTTGTCGTTATACGAGAGCGGGTTCAGAATACTGCCACCTTTGTCGAGAAATTTAGATAATTGAAATTTTATTCCATATAACGAATTTTCAAAATAGGGCTTTATATGGGGAATGGTCGAAAAAGTGGACCGATCCGAATTATTTTCAATAGCTTTTATCTTTGAGTCAAAACGAATGAATGAATGAATAAAAGAAGGAATGAATGACTGAGTAAATCAATGAAAACATGCACAAATGCGTAGATGAATGCTTGCTGGAATGAATTAATAATTCAATGAAGCAATGAATGAATGATTGCATTAGTGAATGAGTGAAAGTATGAATGAATGCATGAGTGAATAAATTAGTGAGTCAGTAAGCGGATTAATGAATGATGGAATGAATGAATGAATAAATAAATGAATAAAGGCATAAGTGTCTATATATAAGGAGCAAGAAAGGTATGAATGTATGAATGATTTAATGGAGTAAGTGTAAGTGTATTATCAAAATATCTCAAAAATAGCGACCAACAGTTTTAACATAAAAAAAACCATGGACAGACATATTCTAATAATGTTTTTCATATTAAACTTATGGACTATTTTCGCAGACATGCACGATTAACACTTGGATGTGTTGGAGTGAGCTGGGGCTGAGTTAATACTAGCGGGGATTTGTCATATACTTCTTGATCTCTATATATCTATTGCATTATTGGCTGGAGAGCGGTTTCAGATGGTGTGGCTAGATATTTGAAGAAAACTGCTGTTGAAGCCCGCCAAACACGTTCAGAGGTTTATGTTGAAGCCGCGGTTTCGAAAAGCTGAAGAATTGTGAAAATGGGTCGGTGGATAGATTGCTGCTAAACCAATGCAAGTTCTTTCAACATGATAACTCTGTGTTTGCAAAAATATTACAAAATGTTGCAGAAACTGATCGAAACTGTTTTGATTAATGTATACTGTACCAACTTTCCACAATGAAGGCCTTTTTCAAGTGAGAAAGTAATCAAAATTTTTGCAAACACCTATTATTTATAAATATATATGTATACATATATATATATTGTGTATATATATTTCACATAATTTAAATACTTTAAAAGAATTATTGCTGAATACACGTAAACACAAATCTATTGAGGGTAATGGTGTGCTTATAAATGGGAATCTTTGAAAAAAAGAACAAAATATTTATAGTGGGGATGGTTTTCAGTGTTAATTCGAAAGCCGTGCTTATCTCCAACACATATTTAGCTATTGTAGAAATTCATTAATGTATGTAAAAATATGTAATAATTTTTTTTTTATTTTTTTTTTAATTTTTTTCAACTTTTTTTCAAGTCCTTAAGAATTGTCTTCTGCTATGGGTCTTTCTTTCTTCAGTGTAATCACAATCGAAATGTTGAAAGAAATAAAAGAAGAAAAAATGACTTAAGTAGTCATTCTTATTATTTATAATCGCTTAAGAGTCACAGTCGTCGTTATACCGACATAGAAGTGTTGTGCAGCAGCAGCAAGACTGGACGATTTTTCATATTATTTTACATACCGACTGACCGAACGAACTGCAGTTATAAATGCCTTGTTCGACATGGACTTTTATGCACTTGAATGCTGCAAAAATAAAATAAAAAAAAAAAAAATTAATTTTTTTTACCATTACTGAGCCGACAACTGTGCCAGGCTTACTGATAACGGTCGCACCAACAGCAATGCACATTGTTTACGCGTCTATTATAGGCGCATACACATACATATATATATATATATATATATATATATACATAAATATACATATATAATATTTATATGCAGAAACAAGTTGTACTTATGCATCCAGCCACTCTATTTGTTGTCAATAATTTAAAATAAAATTATTTTTCTTGAAAATTTTTTATAAATTTTATATATACATACATACATAAAATGTATGTATTATATATGCAGGCGTTTAATTTGTGTCGTTAATTTTTATCTTGAATTTTATATGAAATAAAACCATCAGTTATTTCATTACAGATTTACAATTGAATGATGAAAGCAAATTAATTTTATTAAACGATTTGTAACACGAGGAAGACAACGGTGGAGATACGGCTACGTAAATATTATTTTATTCATTGTACATCCATATCTGCCTGTCCGACCAAGCAACTAATGAAATCACTTAGACTAAGAGAAAAAAAAAAAACATTGAACACAAGCAGCATAAGCTATCGGCCTACTCTTTCCATCTAAATCAATTTCACAAATAAAATATAAAAATGATTTACGATACACTCAAGCAATTTAAAAATATTTTCATCAAAAAAATCTTCAAGCACCTTACAACAGATATTAACACAAGCTTAAGCCTGTGTTGAAGCTATCTCCCTTCCGTTCGGTTCTTTGGCTTCAAGTCAGTCCTCTGACACACTTAAGAGTTAATAAAACATGACATCAACCGGTTGGTATTTAAAAGCGAATGTACGTAGGCTTGTCCTAACCTATGTCCAGTTTCGAGGAACGATGATACATTGGGTTTGTCATTTCTTAGCAATAATTATAGCCTCAGCGTCAGCCTTCTCTTGGCCTCAACTAACAAATGGCCGCAATTCGAAATCTTTGAAAGGAAAAGAAAGATCTCGTCCTATGGGGATAAGGAGATAACTACTTTACCGTGGGATTGAAATATAAATTGTCTCTCTGCTGTTGTGGCATTGGTGTCATGACATGAGGCAATTTAATAACTACTTGCAAAGTAGCCAATAGTCTATGAGAAACTGTAAAAAATAAAAATTTGATCGCGTTATGTGTGGAAATGAGCGAATTTTTCATTTCTACGAACAAAGAAATGCTTACCACAGACGTTACAAAGGCAAACGTTACAAGGACCGGTTCAGAGTTTGGCGCTAATAAAAAATACATTATACGTTATAGAGTCTCTGGCGCTTTCGTCTGGGTGTTGCGTACGTTTTGGCAACATGAATATACTAGTCGCCCTTCGGTGATGGATATGAAGAGAACTTTCACTATATAAAAGCAAATGTTTTTATTTCAAATTCATATTTCAGGGTCGGAAGGCCCGATTTAACTAAAAGGAACAAGTAAATAACCTTTTTGAGTTTAGAGAAGAGAAACCTTTAGTCTAGACTAAAGACAACACTCTTTGAAAAAGTGAGAACTCAAAACGTATCCGACACTATATTCGTAGTAGTTATTGAGAGAAATTTAGTACATTAGCCTAAGATCAATAATGAATAACAAAAAACCATTCGAAGAAATAGAAGCCCAAGATACGAACGGTATCACTTATGAATGACAAATATATTAGCATCTTCGCCTAAAATTAGGCGAAAATCGTTTAAAGAAGTGGGATATGTACGGTATTAACGCTGAAGGTATAGCGGATTAGCATAAAATTAAATAGTTACTAGATCCATCTTCAGATCCACCAATCAGTATGCTTACAGTTAGTTGATAACAAAAAACCCTTAGGATATATATGATATTACCTCTGAATGGTATGAAGGTATAGCGGATTAGCGTAAAATTAGATAGTTATTGTATCCATCTTCAGATCCACCAATTGGCACGCTTTGACAAAGTACAGGTAAAATAAGATCTGATGCCCATAAGCATGGGCAGCATACAGGCTTTATTATGGTGTCATAAGGATTTTATAAGCGACAAAATGAATCCCATAAGACAAAAAACGATTAATAAATGCTTAGGCTATACTTTTTTATTTATACAAACTCTTTTTAAATTGCTTCAATTAACTTTATATTATTAATGACAGGATTTTTATACTAAAATGCTTCCAGACAATGCATGAGAAGACTAAATTGGTTTTTTCTTCAAAAATACGCATCAAAAACAGTCAGATGATATGATGGCATTGTTGATTAATATAAGACTGATTCGACTTAGATAAATACTATGGTTTCGTCAAGTGTGGTGATGAGAACCGGACAACGGTTGTAAATAAATATATTCGATTATTAATTGGGGTGGAAGCCGACAACTGGCAAAATAAAAATCTTTATGTATTGAATATTTGCGGCAAATGCAGGCGAGAACCATCTAAACTCAAGTATAAACAGATGTTGACCTCTTCTTTCGCACCACTCAACTTAAGTCGTGATGAAAAAAAGACCCTGTATAAAATTGGATTTGATCAATTCACTAAGAAACAATAAATTATAATTTATAAGCTTTGAAGAGACAAGAATATCTCAATTTTTATAAAGATTGTGAGGAGCGTAAATTTTTTTTCGACGGAAAATTTTGCTCTTTCAGTCAAATAATGCCAAGGTAAAGCTCAACGACTTTTTCCAAGCGTTCTTACCTTCTTGTAATGTTCCCACTCCGAATATAAATAAATAAAATTTCAATTTCCTTTGATGTTATAGTCTAATTTCCTTATATTAAACTGTCTTACTTCACTAAGCAAAATAGGGCTAAAAATTATAATTCAATTGCTTATATTTAACTAAAACAACCTATCGTCAGTAGCCGTCGGACGGAACGGATGGGTTTCTCTCAAGATATCCCTACTGCTGCACCTGAAGCGTAAAATCCCAACGGATGAAAATGGATTTTTCTATATCGAAGGGCGGTGTGTTATCTCGTCCAGACCCAGAAGAAAGGATGTGCAATCTTCTTCTTCACTATGACCAGGTCCAAAACAGTTCGGGTGACTTCGGTCCTTACAACATTTTCTAGAGTTCATTTAAAAATCCTTTGAAGAAATATTGTTAATCAATCAAATATTTACAAATTTTTGTGATGATGGGTATTAATTATTCGTTCTAAGGCGAATTCAAATTTTTTTTTTTTTTTTTTTTTGGAAGAAGAAATAGTGGAAATGCTGCTTAGATATCATCTATATGCAATTCAAACATATATATAAATGAGCGCAAGCACATAAAATGTTTTAAATGCGATTTGTTCGGCACACAATGTCGTTTCGGTCATATGTCGATTATTTTTCTACATTTTAATTCACATTGCTACATTTCAACAATTAAGCTATTAAGCCTACAACTTTTCGACTAATGTTAGCACTATAAGCTGTTTACAATCTTTATCAGATCAATAGCTTAACTGTCTTCTCGAACCGTTTTTTTTTTTTTTATCCAAAAGTAACTGAAAAAAAAACATATATGTTACGGAAGAAGACAACGGTCAAGTGTCGTAATCGGAACTGGATGAATATGGAAAGCAAAAACGACATCACTAGATTTTATTAAACTTGCAAAACCCTTTTAAATGTTCGGCATTTTTTCTTAGAGCTTAACGCTTAATGAATTCGTTTGGTTTCTTACTTTCGTCAGTGTCAGTGAAGAAGTGTTTTGAAGACATCCAAATATCACTACTGAGTTAAGACAAGCAATTTTGTTTACGATATTGTCTTTTTTCATCTAAATTCGGAATACTAGTTTTTCTTTAAGCGAAGACCTTGAAGACAGACCAGAGCCATAAGTTCGCAATATAATTAAATTTCGTGTACAAATGTATTCACCATTTCGGTAAAGTAACGCATTGCATCTGTTGGACATGTACGACCAGAAAAACTATTTCGATCCAGATCGGAGATTTCGCAACAAGATGGCCATGCGATGGTCAGTATATTAAATCTGCAATTTTGAATGCCTTTTACTTCCAAGCGTAGCAAGAGAATTTTAACAACTTAGTGTTTCGTTTTTGTATCAATTATTTGGTAATCGATATAAGCAACAGCTATTGATTGTACACAATCGGTTTATATTAAGTCTAAAAAGGTAAAGATTCCACTTCCAAATTAAAAATAATTACATTGAGAATTAAATTATTGTTCGCCTATGACATGTATTTGCATACTTTTCGTAGAGTTGTAAAGTTGGCCGGGAGGAAAGGGATGCGCTTTGGAATGAGCATCGGTTTTATTTTTACCACCCGCTGTATATTTAGATAAACGAATACTAGGCATCGGCAAGAAACCTGTACTTAAGGGCATAACATCTAAGGAAATTGAATGACTGTCCACATCTTTCATGGAAATGACTCCTAAAAAGAAAAACAAGAAATGTACAAAAAAAGGAAAAAGCAAACAATATTAAAATGTATCTGTTATAACAGAGGCATCTAAGGCGAAAAATTCTCGCTTCTTATAGCATGTTTGAGTTTGAAAAAGTTCGAACGCTTCACACTGATTTGCTTATCATTTATAGAAATGCATGCATAGCGTAAGAAGAGGATTTTAGGTATGCTTTCAAATTACCTATTGAACGTCCGCACACGGCCCATAGATTTTGATCAGTTAGCACTTCGTACATTAAGTCAACATAGGGATTTTCATGAACTTTCGTTATTTTCAAATTCAAATTACACACGGAACGAAGCCGACACAGTTCATTTGGTTCTAGTTGGGCGTGTATCTTAAATAACGTAATGTAATCAACCAGGTCGAACGCGCAACCGAAATTCCGCAACAAGTATGGCTTTTCGACACTGGAATACTTCGTAACGAAATGTACTTTAATAACCGGCAATTCATTTTCCGCCTTCAAGGGCTCCACTTGGATTTCGTATAAATAGAAAACGGTTAAAGATTTATAAATTTCCTTAAAAAAAAAAAAAGAGAAGAAGAGAATTTTATATTAATTTTAAAGAATAATCATTTAGTGTACACACAATACGCTGCAGCGTTGGAGGATTTAAATCGACCAAGCTAACTCCAGGCACATCACAACGCACACGAGCTTCGGTCAAGTAAAGATGCGATTCCAGTCCTTTAACGATGACTTGTAGAAACTTTTGCGTTCCGCACGTATGCAAATGGCAAGAGGCTTCTATAGCCGGCTGGAATAATATCGGTATTTGCAATTCACTTCGTGACCATGGGCAACTCAGTACAATGTGATGCTCCAAGTGTTTAGCCACTTTGCGACCCGGCATGTCAGTTAAAACTTCTAAAGGAATATCACGTTCTTCGAACGATTTAAAATTCTGTAATGGCACCTGCAAGACGCTCTCAAATGTTGCATCTTCATTGGGATTTTCTTTATTCACATCACCCTCTTCTTCTTTACTCGGTTTTTGAAGGCGTATACGTAAATTTTTGGAACATTTTAAAGTGATCTTTGCTTCATTTGAAAATATAAAGCTGCCACCTGACACATGCAAACGGATGGGTTGTTCTACGCCAGCGATAAGAGTTTTAAAATGCAACACAGCCGACGCCGGTTTAGTAGTAATTTCAAATATTGACGTCTTACTGGGTAAATGCTCGGAGAGAAATTCCAGTTGAGACATGCGTAAGCAAAGCTATCAATGAAAACCATTGAGATATATTTTTTAAAATGACTTCAATTTCGAGCTTCCTGTCTGCGAAGAAACGTACCTGTTTAAATTGCCATTGACCAACACGATTGCCTTTAGCTTTTAACTCGATTAGATTGATACCTGGCATTAGGGCTTTATTATCGGCAGCTACATAATTTGTGAAATCCGATTTACTGGGCGATAATTTACGCTTGGTACTGCTCGAACGTCTTACGATTTGGGTAGGTTTTACATTACCGCACGCTACGGACGCAGTAGCCAATGTGTTATCCTGCTTGTATTGCAATTGCAAGCAGAATTTCTGTTTATCGTTATTATTTCCACTCGAAGTGGTTGGCAATGGTGTAGCAAAAAGATCAAAACTTAATTTCAAATCATCTATAATTACTTCCCGTGGATAAAAGCTCTCCAATTGCAACTGTACGCGAACAAACTCATCTTGTATTATCGGTTTCTCGTTGAGCACTTCAATAGCTAAAATCTGAAAATTATCTTCCAGCATGCAATAATTAGCATTTTCTACAGACGGTTGGGCCGACAGCACGGAATTAAGAGTTTTTAATGATTTGAGAAATTCATCGAAATAAAATGTGCGCACTAGAACTTCTAACTCCAGGCAACATGAAATGGCGCTACAAGTTTTCGTATAGGCCATTGCATCGCCCATTTTTCGATAACAATTGGCTAATTCTAGCAAAGTTTGCGAGCTTAGCGTAGACCAATTCTCCGCCTTTAGTTCACGTAACAGGTCGGTGAAGAAACCAACGGCCTTGTGCGGTTCATTTAAAGAGCAATAAAAATTACCCAAATCCAAACCCACTAAACGAGCCGATCGCAAACGTAAAACATGCTTGTATGTGCTAATAGCCAATTCGGCCAATTCCAAGTAGAGTTTTTGAAAAGCTTGATTTGAACTCAACGCCTCCTTTAGCTGTTCTGGAGCAGGTTTAGGATGTTTTCGGCCTGGCGATCGATCTCTTTGCTGAGGTAAAGGATTTAAAAAGTGCTCTGGTTCAATGGGATTGTCACCTATACCGGCCGACAATTGTACCACTATATGTAATTGAGCAGACGTAGGAGAACAACCTGGAAGTAGTCCACACAATTTACCCAATTCGTATAACTTATCCTTAGTCAAGTTCCAAATTGGTGCACAATATTGAAAACATGTTATTTCCTGGGGCTCCATAGTTCGTTCACATAGCTGCAACACCTCCAGGGCGCAAACAAACTCCCAACAAGCTAGCGCACCTTCTTGGCACTCTAGCTTCACCAACTCTATTTCACGCAGAGTTGAAAACAGAAAATTCAAAAGTCGCTTAGCTATGCAAGAGATATCATTGCTTTGTTGCAAAAGATACGCTTGACGCTCAAATAAATAATTGCGAAATTCCAATAACGTAACTGCTCCAGCTCGAATTTTTTCTCGCATAGCAAAACGTTCACTTCGTCGTAAACAGATGCCTGAGAAAGAGGTTAAAGGTTTCTTAAAGCATTCCATCCATTTATGTTTGTCGCCAAGACCAGCCGTATTAAGAAACTGCGAAAAAATAGCATCCAATTCGTCGTACTGAATTAAAGCTTCCGTATGCAATTCAAGCTTTTCAAAAAGTAATGCTAAATCCTCCTGCATGAAGAAGTATTGATGAAAATCCCAATTGTCATGATTACGTTTTTCACGTTTGGATCGTATAAGCTCTTCATATTTGGCAATGTTACGATTATAACTGCTAAGCATAAGAAATCTAAAAACATTCCATGTCTGTAATACGATACATCCATATATATATAATATTACAAAGCTACCGTATTCGTTGCACCAAGCATCGGAAGCTTTCAGTTGGCTTGTGTTTAGCTGAATACAGTACTGATATACAACGATCATCATTTTTTGCACCAAAATCCGTACGAATTTTATCCAAAACCGTAGTTCGTTGTAAAAGATTTTTTGTCTTACGCACATCTATAGTTTCTACCAACAGTATCATCCAATCGGTAACACCGTAACTGTACAATAACTTTAACCAGTTATCGATTTCTTCGTGGGCTGTTTTCTTATAACAGTCTAAATCCTAAAATCAGCAAAGAAAAATAATATATTCTTATTAAGGCGAGTCTTTGATAACCACCATTTCAAGGTATGTTATTACTTGAAGAAACATGTGTTATAGATTCTAAGTTTGACTAATACAGACCTACTTTCGGACGACGACGTCCCCGCGAGGGTTCCGGCAGGTAGATGTACTTCAATTTCGTCTTAAGTCATTAACTAGGAATTAATGTAAGCAGTTTGGGTTTTCTATCCTTTTTTCTGTCACAACGCAGATCAAGCCAAATAAATGAATATGGTTAATATAGGTCACAATCTTATGCTGGTCAAGAATTTTTACAGATAAATATTCTTATGCTGATCAAGAATACTTATGTTTGACTGAACATCTAAAGCATGGACATATAAGCCACAAATCTATTGGCTTAGTCCATCTCCACTCAACAAACCAAAAAAACAAGAAAATGTCTAAAGCATAATGCATTTCTGAGAGAACTAGTCTCATGTGTTCAAAAACCCGAGAGTAGATGTAATAACATTTGGCGAAGTAACTCATTCTACTTACGTTACATTCCGTCACATATATATGTAGGATGGGATGTTCCACTATACTCCATACCCCCTTTTTGTATTTTTCCAACAAGGACTCATTGAGAGGCTGAAACTGTGCTTCTAAACGCACGTATTTTGTAGGCCTTTGGTAGGTACGCCTCCATTCACATTGATCCGAAGGAATGTCGTCAACTATTTGGCATTCTAAGGCGCGAAACAAAGGTGCAGCTCCAGAATCTAAGCAAAGAAATCAATAGTTTATCAGGTTTGAGGCCTTTTCATGTACAATTCCTTTACAAGTGATTGTGGGCTTAAAGTTCATAACTATTTTGGAGTTTTTTTTTCGTTTTTCAGCAATTAATACTGAGTTTAATTTTTTTTTAATATGTTAAACGCCTGGATTAGCCCTGTTAACAATAAGAACAATTTTAATTTTTAATAACAATTTCTAAGCATTTTACAAAACAAGCAAAAAACCGAACAACAGCTGATTCCTGGTTGTGTATGATACGCTTCTTTTATTTTCTTAATTTAATTAAACGCTCGCTTTCCAACACTATTAAAAACCGAAGCAAACGGTAGAAAATCAGCTATATATCAGCTGTTATAATAAATGTCAAAACGAAAACATTTCTTGACGTTGGAAAAATGATAATTTTTGTTATCATATTTATTAATTAAATTATATATGAGTTTCATTGTGCTTAATTCAACCATCGAATATTTAGAAATAATTTAAACGACAATTATGGAAATGGCTAAAAGTTTATTTGGTCGGGATCATGATGGTTATGTGGGGAAGGCAGAACATACGGTAAACATCGAAACAAAATTAAATTATTTCGATTTTCAAAACTATAGCGTTTTTTAAGAAAAAACTGCAAACATTGAATTCGGAAGAAGATATGTTTGAAGAATTGCCTACGCTAATGGAAGAAGTAAGTGTGATGGACGGGTTAAGACCGAATGCGGGTGGTCCATTTTCCGCACTAACTCCTTCGATGTGGCCTCAAGATATACTGGCAAAATTAGGACAACCTGAAGCCGAAAGCGTTATTGGTCCTAACGATCAACCCGATTACCGTTTCGATGAATTTGGTTTTCGTGTCGAGGAAGAGGATGGTCCAGAACAGAATTCCAATAAATTGCTAAGTATACCATTTGTTGAAGATGCCCAACATCGCCTAATGTGGATAGCTCATTTGGAATTTTCTCATAACAAAGAAGCTACAGAGCTTACATGGGAACATGTAGATGTGGCTTTACCGCGAACGGAAAAATTGCGCAACATGGTTCGCGAAGGAATACCACACTCTTTAAGAGCTCAGATGTGGATGCGCTTATCTGGTGCCCTGGCTAAAAAGCAAAAAAGTGAAACAACCTATCATGAGATTGTGAAGGCGTCTGCAAATAATCAACTTATGACCTCTAAACAAATTGAAAAGGATTTATTACGTATACTGCCTACTAATGCCTGCTTCAGCAATCAAAATGGTACTGGTATACCTAGGTTGCGTCGAATTCTTCGCGGTATAGCCTGGCTTTATCCTGAAATTGGCTACTGTCAGGGTACGGGTGTAATAGCAGCTTGTCTCTTATTATTTATGGAAGAAGAAAATGCTTTTTGGATGATGGCCACAATAGTTGAGGATTTATTACCCGCCTCTTATTATTCTTCAACTTTGTTAGGCATCCAAGCCGACCAGCGAGTAATGCAAACTCTTATAGCCAATTATTTAACGGCTGTAGATGAAACATTGAGAAGACATGACATTGAATTGTCATTGATAACATTGCATTGGTTTCTAACTCTCTTTGCAAATGTAGTCCATATGAAAATTTTGTTACGTATTTGGGATTGGTTTTTCTATGAAGGTAGCATTGTTCTATTTCAATTGACTTTGGGCATGCTTAAGATGAAAGAGAAAGAGTTACATAATTTAGAAAATTCGGCGCAAATTTTTAACTCATTGTCCGATATACCCGGTGAAGTCGACGACGTGGAGGTTCGAAAATGGAAAATAGATTTCAAAATTTATTTTAAAAATTTATATTTTCTTTTCAGATACTTTTCAAAATAGCTTTAGATGTTGGCGGCTCTTTAAGCCAAACCGTAATCGATACGCATCGTCGTCGACATTTGGCCTATCTAATGGCTGACCAGGGTGGCTTAGTTGGTAATCCCGAGGCTGTTCCCAATCTGCCTAAACAACATTTGGCGCGTCGTCAAGTACGCAAAAGTAAATCAATTTTAGAGACATTACTCTTCCGCGGTGACAACGAATGCACTGAACTGAAAAATAAAAATATTCGACAAACCGAGATTTTAGTAGATTTACGAGAAGCATTTTAAAAGTTGCAAGACATTTTATTACCATAGAACCCAAGCTGACCAATCATATTCAATTGACCGCTGATTACAGCACTCACTCACATGCTAAAGATCACGAGAATTTCATAAATGTTGCTCGTACTCGAAAACGAAGAGCTAAAGCTTTACATGATTTTGAAAGGCACGATGATGACGAATTAGGCTTTAGAAAAAACGACATCATCACCATAATAAGTCAGAAGGACGAGCATTGCTGGGTGGGTGAATTAAATGGTTTAAGAGGTTGGTTTCCAGCCAAGTTCGTGGAGTTATTAGACGAGCGTAGCAAACAATATACATCGGCTGGAGACGATGCTATTTCCGAAACCGTTACCGACTTAGTAAGAGGAACTTTGGCACCGGCTGTCAAAGCCTTTCTAGAGCATGGTATGCGTAGACCCAATTTTTTGGGTGGTCCAATACATCCGTGGCTATTTATCGAAGAGGCTGCTTCACGCGAAGTGGAAAAAGATTTTGAATCGGTTTATAGCCGATTGATTTTATGTAAAACGTATCGTTTAGATGAAGATGGGAAAGTCCTAACACCTGAAGAGCTACTATATCGTTGTGTGCAGGTTATTAATCAAACCCACGATGAGTCTCATGCACAAATGGACGTTAAATTACGCTCACTTATCTGTTTGGGTCTCAACGAACAAGTTTTGCATTTATGGTTAGAGGTTTTATGTTCATGCCATGAAATCGTACAAAAATGGTATTATTCGTGGTCATTTATAGACTCACCTGGATGGGTTCAAATTAAGTGCGAATTGCGTATTTTAACACAATTCGCGTTCAATTTAAATCCCGATTGGGAATTACCGCCAAGACGAGGCAAAGAATCGCAACCTCTGAAAGATGGCGTACGTGACATGTTGGTTAAACATCATCTATTTTCGTGGGACTTGTGAGGCGATCGATGTCGTGTCCTATTCAAAAAATGGAATTTCAAATTCATTTCAATTTTAAATGCAAAGACGCTCTAAGCTTTAACGAATACTCTGACAATTTCTGAGTTTAAAATTTAATTTAAGTTGAATTTTTTTTTTTTTTTTTTTTTGCTTTCTTTTTTTTATAATATCACATTGCAATGCATTTAACATAATTGATTATACTCACACATACGTATTCTCATAAATCCCGTATAACTAAAGCATTTACTTAACGATTATTATAACTTGTGTACTTCACGTATTAAGCAGCTATATATATATATATATTTATAGATTCAATCCTATCACTAGCAATCTATCGTCCTGTATGCGTGTGTATGTGTATGTGTGCAATCATTTTATTATAACGAAAAGTTTTTCTCAATTCTATTTATATAATCTGTCGCTACCAATGTAAAAAATTTTATGAAATTACATGTGTACCTTCAAAATCTATATAAATTTGTTATATAAATATAGATATGGAATTATATATATACATATATATATATATGTATGTCATTAATATGAAATGTAAATTAAACTAATTAAATTATTCCCTGATTTCAATTAAATATTAATTGTTATTATAATGTATTCAATTTAATATGAAATAAATTCTTAGGGTAAAAGATCTTGAAGTTTAGCTACTTTATTTAGTTGTTTATTAATTAGTAGCTTGAACTGAGTTAATTAAATAAATTTGTGACTACACTAGGTTTTGCTCCCCATGTGCTTATCGCATTCGAATTGATTTATTGCTTGGATAATTCATTTTACCGCGAAATTTTATATATAATTATGGATTAGAGTAAGCAGAGTCTAAGACAACTCTTCAAGTTTGTTTCTCATCACTTTTTTGACATTTCTTGGTTACTAACGGAGTTAAGGTTTTTGTAGTGGAATAGTGAAGTTGAATTTTTCATCAACTTTTTTTTTTTGTTTGGTATTTTCTATTATAAAACGAATTTATTTTGTTTTTTTTTTATCAAGTAATATCACTGTAACTATACCCTACACCACTTGTGATACAGATCCGGACGTATGTAACCGGGAAAAGGGCCGACCTGTTATTATACCGATTCGAAATCATAATCTGATCTAAGTCTGTTTGTCCGTCTGTCCGTCTGAATTTTTTCTATGTAAATTTGCGTTCAAGGTAGAGGTCGCAACTGAGATATTTTGATGAAATTCCGTAGACTGACGAGCTTTCATCCAAAGGCTTTGAAAACGATTCAAATCGGTCCACTCCCCATGTAACGATCTATTTTGATAAGTCGTTTCTCTTATTTTTATCAGCTTGACTTAAATATATAGGTTTAAGGTTTCTCCCAAGATAAATATAACTTTTTATACCCAAGACTGTATACTCATTTCCTTTTTTTTCATAATATATGTAACATCCAAACGAATGCTTCAGAAACTCCATAGAGAATATATATTCTTGATCAGCGTGAAATTCTGTGTTGATATAGCCATGTCTGTATGTCTGTGTGGTGTGTTATTAGCACTCTCCTGACATATCGACTTCGAATTTAGGAGAAACGTTGGTAGTTTCTGCACACAGGTTGGTATTCTAAATGGGCCAAATCGGTCAGAGCAGAAGCCCACAGTGGATGGTAAACTGAACACAACTTCGTTCTTTTTAAACAAAAATTTACGCGGAAATTATGAAAGCTAGAAGGCTGAAATTTTCCATATCTACTTTGCGAAGCACTCTACTCCTTACGTGCGAAAATTAAACAAAACCGCCACGCCCACACAAAGTGACAATTGATTTAATTTTATTTTTTTCACTATTTTGAGATTTTATGCTTATTTATCATAAGGCAAAACAAGACTGAATATTTGAAGCTATTTTGTGCACTCCTTATAAGAAGATATATGATCTGCCTAAAATGGTTTAATTTTAAAATGAATATGGGGAACACCGCGACCTGGTGGATTAATTTGATTAAAAAGTACCAGCAATATGGATAAAAATATAGTGATGGGTATGCGAGATTCGGCCCCCGCCGAATACAACTTTTTTACTTGTATTCTTTGAACCTATTCCCTAAAATTATGCATCTAAGAAAGTAGGAAAAAATCCAACTTTACTTCATACGCGAAATATTCTATATTTCTCCACTTGATAAAGTTTCCATGCCCGGCACCACTTGTTGTACAAGGCTTGTTTGTGACATTGTGCCCAATACATAGAAAACCTTGAGATAGTGCTATGTTTTTTTTATACCAATCGATTCAGAATCGTTTCCCAAATTCCCATTTCGGTTCAAAATCATTTTCCGAATCGATCTAAGCTTGGCTCTCCGTCTTAGGTTCTACTCAACATACAGCTTGACAATTTTTTACATATTTTGAAGAAAAGCGGTCCACCGAAATGTTTTGGCTCAAGGACGAATCCTATTGAAAATCGTTCGGATCGGATCACCTTTTCAGTCACTTCTCATGGAAGGCTTTATTTTGAAAAGCCGTTACGTGAATAACTGCAGGGTATATTTAATGTTGGCTCGTGACCGATTATAATGTTTTTATTTGTTTTAAATTTTATTGAAGTTATTTCACCCGGAACTCGCCAAATTTTTAGCGCAAAAAAGCTATTTGTCACAAGTTGATATATAATTTTTTTGATTCGGTTTCAAAATTTAAAGCACTTTCGTGATTTCTGTTGATTTCTTCCAAGTTTCCATCCCGTAAGTAAGAAAGTAGTTGTTGTTTTTGCTTTTGCCTAGAATTTGGCGACGATTATATTTTGAGAAATTGGGTCTCCTATGTAAACAATTTTTGATAAATTTCTCAACATACTTTATCATCAGGCTAAAGAATTTATGTATGCCTGCATGAAATTCGCCGAAGATTTAACACTATCGTCCAATGAAGTGGCCGCCATGGTGCGTAAAGCCGCCAATCTCTTATTAACTCGTAGTTTTAGCGGTTGTTTGTCGGTAGTATTTCGCAATCCTAGGGTTGCTCTACCGCAGCTAATCCAAATCATTGTAGACACTCAATACTTAGAGAAAGCCAGTCCGTTTCTGGATGAGTTTGTTGGTCACATGACTAACACGTGTAACACGGTAAGCGGCGTTACACAGACAACTTCGGCCATGTTTCATGTCGCTCGTCAAGATGCAGAGAAACAGGTTAGTGTACGTATATGCTCGAAAATCGATGAATTCTTTGAACTCTCCGAATACGATTGGTTATTAGTTGAACATATGCTTAACAAAATCTATAATTTATAGAATTTCCTTATCCTCAGCCATTTACACGTACAATTGCACTAAGTTCCCCCCGTTTGTCTGCGGCTGGTGGTAATCACACTACATTATGGACTCTCGAAAGAGTAGTGTCATTAGCTTTATTAGGGGTTATACCTGCCGCTTTCCTAGTGCCCTCGCAAACGCTAGATGCTTTAATGGCCGTATCGTTGGTACTTCACTCTCACTGGTATCATTTGTGGTCGTAAAATATGTATTCAAGATCTAAAAACGAAAAATTTCATTCTCAGTAGAAACAGAATTAAACCTGTAAGTATTTCTAATGAAGTTGTTTCACATTTTTAATCAAACAAAAAAAGAAATGGATTAAATTCAACTATTCCATTACCAATCCAATAGATTTATATAATTTTCTTTTATTTAGTACAAAAATAGTTTTGCTTTTCCTAAGCTTCTTTTTAGATCAACTAATTATTTAACACTTTCCATAAAATATTTGCACATTTCATTTAACAAACATTTCTAGTAAACTTGAGTAAAACAAAAAAAACATAAGACATAAAAACCTAACTAATTAGTCAAAGAAAAAAAAACTCACATGGCTAATATTTATAAAAATAAATGAAAATAAACTATCAATGATACAAAAACGATATCAAAAAACATAACCGAGTAGAACACAAAATTACATCCTTTTTTTTACAGTTTCAGTGATAAGAAAACTAAATGAAATTAAGCAAAAAAAAAACTGTTAAAAATAAAATGTTAAAAAGTTTTTTCATTAACCAAAGCCGATAATTCGCGAGAGCTATAACCAATCAGAAGTTTCAGATCGCAATCAAACTTGTACGTAAAACGTTGGCCGGGCACTTTAGATATGATATTACTATAGTAATAGTATCGTATGGATCTCGACAGTGTTTCATAATTCATAGTAGGCTTATTTTTTTCTCGCCCCAAAGACGTGCTACACGTTCCGGATCAGTAAGCTTAAATTCGCCATCATCACCTATCCACTCAATTATGTCCACATGTTCGCGATCAGTAAGTATCTCAAGGAGGAATTGCCATAAGTTTACTTTGCCGTTGTTTGAACCATCTGAGCCTAAAGTCACTTCATCTAAAAGAAGGGTTAACCAATTGGATAGTTAAGAAATTTCCTAAACAACTTGACCATCACGACTTACTTTCTTTATTATTTGTATTATGGAAACTTTTTCGCCTTATCTTTTGCTTTCGTGGCATGGCAGACAAGGCTTGTGTGTTTTTACTTAATTCTACGTTATTTTCCATTAATCCACTTTTAGCAGCTTTAAGTGGAACAGCCACACACTTATATTCTTTTAGCAACTGCGCATGAGTCCAAAATACATTGCCAGGATCTTTGGGCAACTTCTTGCGAAAATCTTCATGAGTGAGTGTGCAAAGTTCGCGACCCGTTATTGACCATTCGTTTATATTAAAGTTAGTCTTTGAGAATATTAAGATGTTAAGACAAACGATAGATTTCTATATGTAAAAAACTCACCAATTCGAATTGCTTAATGGCCCATTGAAACCAATGTTTCACATAAGCTACTGTCCAATCATTGGGATTGTCGGGTATTTTGAGACGTGCCTGTTCCTTGCGAAACTTGCTATCCAATACCCAATTAGGACAAGGTTTCTCCTTCGATGAAGTTGATGCGATGGCATGATCGCCTTTAAATTTCTTGGCTGGAGCTTCTTCGCCTTCTTCGCTATCTTCCGTATTTTCATTGCGTTTACTTTGTTTATCATCCGAAGTGGAATTTGTTTTACAATTCTCTTTCTCAGCCAAGGTCGCTACTCCAAATTTAAGAAAAGATGAAGATCTAAAGCCGTTGTCTCATGTTTTAATGCATAACTTACCAAAGCGTCTTCAGTGGGTTTTAGGACATCGAAAATGTTGATTCGTTTAACTATGTATTTGATTTGTATATTAATTTGAACCAAGCCTTCATGTTTTACACATTGGTCCACTAAATTTTCGTGAGAATTACTATCATCTTGGCTGTTACTAATATAAATGTCATCTTGTTCAAAAAGTTCGCCCGAGGAACTTAAAGAACTTTTAAAGCGTGTTTTTAAAAGTTTTTTCTTTGTTTATATGTATGGTTATGTTTTGGAAACGACGATGATATAGCTATCGGCGTAGTAGGTGGTGCTTGTTCCGATGTCACACAGAATGTGTATGAGGTCGGAAAATTCCAGAAGAGAGCCAAACTCATGGCAAGTAACCGTTGTGATATAAAATGTTCTTTATAAAATGATTTTTAATTGCTATTTGGCGAATTTTTCGAAACAGGAATTTTTAAAGGAGAACGCGAGCGGCACGATTGTTTTTGTGGAAACGAAACGAAGTGCCGACTGTTTGGCATCATTGTTGTCGGAAACAGATTATCCGACTACTTCGATACACGGCGACCGTTTTCAATGGCAACGCAAAACTGCTTTGGCAGACTTTAAAGCAGGAAGAATGAAAGTGCTAATTGCGACCTCGGTAGCTACTCCTGGTCTTGATGCCAAAATTATAAGACACGTAGTTAATTACGATATGCCGTCGTCAATTAATGAATACGTTCGTCGTATCGGATGCGCTGGAAATAATGGCAAAGCTAGTACTTTCTTTGATCCCCAGTATGACTCGGCTATTGCTGGCGAATTCGCAAAAATTCTAGAAGGTGCTGCCCAAGAGGTGCCGCAGTTCTTAAATGAATATGGTTGCGGTGGTGGCCGTGATAATTCGGTTGGCCGTTTCGGTGGCAGGGATGTACGAAAAGGTGAATTGATTTATTAAGAGTTTTGTGTACATACATAAATTTTTAACATACACCTTTTTTTTTAATTAGAGCGATGATCATTCTATTACTTCTGCCGTTGCTTCTGAAGACGAAGAAGAAGACTGGAATTAAGCCAACATTTTATTGATTGGTCTTCGCTTACATTTTAATACATCTGCTTTTAGGAAAGACGAAGGCTGAAATTGATTTTCCTTAGTTATTCTTTACTAATATTACAATATAGTCTTCTTCAGCTTTGTATTAAATGACTTTAATTTTTTTTCTGAATTATAAAAAAGTTTAAAGTTTAATTTGAATTTAAAATTTTTTAATTTACTGTATTTTTAAATGAATGTAATTAATTTTTTAATTTACTGTATTTTTAAATGAATGTAATTAATTTACTGTATTTTTAAATGAATGT